AATAAGAAAAATCAACCTACATAAACGGGATGGATGGAGTATTATGAAAATCACATGAAAGAGAAGACTTAATGCCAAGAAAAAAGATATATCTTAAACGAACCACATTTACCCACTATATTTATGCGTGCCTTCGAAGTGAAAGAAATTGATTACAACTAGGTATATTAATAAATGAACAAAACAAATACTTTCTCAATAAAGAAATGAGACTAAAAAAATTGGACAAGAAAATAAGAAAAGTCAACCTACATAAATGGGACGGATGGAGTATTATGAAAATCACATGAAAGAGAAGACTTAATGCCAAAAAAAAGATATATCTTAAACGACCCGCTATATTTATGAGTGCCTTCGAAGTGAAAGAAATTGATTACAACTAGGTAAATTAAATAAGGGTATTAATAAATGAACAAAACAAATACTTTCTCAATAAAGAAATGAGACTAAAAAAATTGCACAAAAAAATAAGAAAAGTCAACCTACATAAACGGGATGGATGGAGTATTATGAAAATCACATGAAAGAGAAGACTTAATGCCAAAAAAAGGATATATCTTAAACGAACCACATTTACGCATTATAGTTATGCGTGCCTTCGTTACACACTATCATATAAGCACATAGTGAAAAAAAAAATATGAAAATGAAGAAATGAGTTTACTTCATGTTTGATATGTAATATTTACAATAAGGATGACAATGTGACGGGGCTGGGCATTTTCCCGCCCATATCCGGCCCATTACCAATTTAAGGCGGGGCGAGGCGGGACGTTTGTTTTTTTTTTTTGAAGTTTTCGATAATTCATTTTATTGTCCACGTTCATTAAAGTGTGACAATGGTATATTTATTAAAAATTTTAATTAATTAAATTATTTTTAAAAGTTAAATTATTCGAACACATTTGGTTTACTAAGGTCTTCATTGTTTATCATATTTTCTTAGATAATCTTAGTTGTCATATTCTATTAGAATTAATGAAATTTCGTGGAGTTTTTCATTTAAAAATTTAATTACCAAGAAAAGAATTAGAAAAGAAGCTCACTCATTTGGATAAAAACATTGGTTACTTAGAGTATCTTCAAGAGAATCTTTAAAGAAGAGATGCTCTCTATTTTAAATAATTAATCCTTAAAATCATGTCCTAAGAAATTTTTTAAATTAACATTTTAATTTGAAGAGAAACTCACTCTCTTTAATTAAATGCATTTAAAGTGTTTCAATTTTCAATGTAGAAAAATAATAAAACAATTTTTTTTTTAAAAGAAGCTAGTTAAAATAAATTATAGAGAAAAATAATAAATATTTTTTGAGAATAGTAAAATTAAGTATTAAATATAAAAAGTTTGTTGAAATACTTTAAAAATTTTACTCTCTAAATTTATAGATACTCTTCCAATAATATAAGATGTTCTTCAAAAAGGAAGACTATTGAAAATACTATTATTGTTTCTTCACGAGACCAAGCACAAGCCTTGCTTAGTGGCTATATATGCCAGACAAGAATTGTAGTTTTGATCTCATTTGGACTTATTTTAGGTGAATGCATTTATATTGCACAAGTCCCAAATGCCTGTGGAAACACAACCCCACCACTAAGGGCAAAAATGAAAAAACAAATAACAAAAAAACAAAATAAAATCTCTTTTTAGAAAGTTATCATATAATTGGGCCCAAACATTTTGAATTCCACTAGACTTGGAGTCCCACGTCATTTCATCTGATTTTTTGTACGTTATAAAAAATAAAGAGGGTGCAATTTTCATTTGCTTTTTGTAAGACCTTTTAACAATTCTGGTTCTTGTTTCTTCCTATATTGCCTATTTAGACCTACTGATTACAATATACTGAATGTCCCATCAGAATGAAAATGAAAATACTTTTGAATTTTTGGTGCTTTTGTCCAATACAATTTCAATACAAAAGTATGAAACAAATCTTAGTGATTCACAATGGCCACTTAGAGTCTAGCCATTTACCACCAGTTTTTTCGTTGTTCAATGTGAAAGTAACGAGAACTTTTGGCCTAGAACGATAAAAGAGGGAGGAGAAGATTGAGCCTTTGAACTCTTGTTACGAATAATTTGTATAACATATTAGCAATTCGACATTTTTAGTTGTGGTTTGGTTATCAAGCAAGTGTTTGCATGATGGAATTTTAAGAAGGCAACTTGTTGAGACGATCTATAATAATTGTACTTATTAAAGCAACTAAAAGAAAATAATTATACCTATAATAGTTTTTAGAAGATTCGCTTTTTGTGTATTCATCCTAATAAGTTTCATGAGTAAGTTTTAGACACGATCACGAGATCAAAGGTCTTTCGATCTTTGCACGAAAATTTTAATGGCTTAAAATGTCAGTTTGTCTAGCAACATGAAAATTTCCATATTAGTAGATATGAAAGCAAAACATAGGGAATTAATTTAAACTTGCAAAATATAGGGTAATTAATTTAAACCTAAATGATATTTTATATATTATCAATTTTTACGGCAAAATAACTAACATGTTAAACAACTAATTGCAATTTGACAAAATTTTCTTATCATATCTGAAATATTTTATGAGAAAATCTTTCATCTTTTTCTTTCTATCTCGACTATATATATATATATATATATATATCATATTTCTTAAGACGCCTACTTTGTATTCATTCCCAATAAATCATCAATTTCATATTGTTATTTTACAAATTAATTCTTATCTTTATGAGGTTGCAAATGGTCATTAATTATTTATTACATTTTCATGAAACATAAAAAATTACAAAACATGCAACAATAACTATTTAACCATGCGAGTTAAGAAAATAGTGCCTGTTCAGATGAAGAAAAAGTTTTTAAAACTACTTCCATGTAAAATATCCTTTAAAGTCCCATTTCACATCAACACCTCCATTTGAATACAAGAATTTCATATCAATTTATTATATAATTTTGACAAAGACTATTGTTCGAGAAGTTGTATCTAGCATCTTCGTAATATTCCTAAGTTTATACTCATTGAAACCTTCAAATTGTATAAGTAGTCTTTCTATATACTATTAAAAAAGAAAAGAAAAGAAAAGACGCGTAAATTTCACAATTTTAAGCCCCTATTTGGCCCTCATTATTTGAATTTATAATGAAGGGAATAATATTTTTTTCAAGATTATGTGGTTGAAAAATTTTCAATTTGAGTGTAATATTATTTTATTGAAAATTGTGTGGTTGAAAGTAGGAGAGAAAAAAAATTAAATTACATTGAAGAATTTTAAGGGGGACCAAACAGGAGCTAAGACTCCAATTTCATGTCAATTGGTCATCCTAATTAGTCAACGTTGATGAGTCCCTATCATAATTTGACTTTATGAAGGAATAGAACCAAATCGTCCCAATTGCATCCTCTTGTCCTAGCAATTTCTACCATAATTTCCGTTCTTTTTTTATTTTAGACTGTCCGTGTAATACTATTCGTAAGCATATAAGCTCACGCACCCACCGACACTCAACTATACACAAATAAGAGAACAAAGTGCAAAAGTCACCATAACCTAGCATATCAACCAATTCGATATGAGGGAAAAACCTTTTTCATTTTCTTTTCAACAATTAATTGTGTGCCATGAAAGAGTAAATAATTAAACTACTTGACCTTAAGGGTTACACATGAACTCTTATCAATTTATAACAAAAAACTAATTAAGTAATTACAAGAAAGGATAAATTACATATGGTATTGTGTTGCTAATTTACTTTAATCATGTACGGAGAAAAATAAAACAGGTTTTAATTCCTACTAAGGATCTAAAGATGACTAAAAAAATCCTTCAAACCTGACACCCGATTAAGGCACTATGATGAACTCAAGTTGAAGGACCAATTTCACTATTAAAAGTTAGAGATTAATTACTGACACTTAAATAGTTATCCATTTGAAATCTCTCCAACGAGTCACAAATGTTTTGTTATGTAACGAAATATTCGTTTGTTCATTTAAGTGTCACTATACTTTAGCATGTGTGATTAGCTATTTATTTCACAATTATGAAATGTCACACTTAATAGTCTATTTGTAATAACAATATTCGTATCCCGTTAGTACTTATGACCATGGATGTTTTAAGATTCGACCATATGTTATTTGTATCTTACAATTACAATCCATTGTCATCAACAAATTACCAAGACTTGAATCTACGGATTCTATTATTTAACTCATTAGAACATTAATTTAATTAAATAATAGATCTATCATAAATGAAATGCATCAATTATTATTATATATTAAAAGTTTTTATATCTAAAGTTGATTAAATCTAGACCATAACTCTTACACATTGAATACAAGAAAACTTTAAGACGAATACAAATTAAGATAAAAATTACATACAAGGAGATCTTTAAATGCCTTGTATCGTTTTCTTTGGATATCTTGATATCTTAATCTACAAAGATCCAAATTTTCATGCGACAACAAAATTTTCAAATAACTAATATAGATCACAAAATAAATTTTCACATCTATATTACCCTGAAAAGTATTCCAATTGTATTGAGATTTTAAGTTTTCAAATAACGTTGCAAAATTAATCTAATCAAGATACATTCAAATTTTTAAAAACATTTTAATGAAATTGAACATTAAGGGGTTGTTTGAGCCCGATTTCCTAAAAAAATTGTGTTTTGGAATAGTGTTATGATAGAGAATGTGTGGTTAAAATATAAGAAAAAGTTATGAATTTGTGTGGAATATTATTCATTAAAAAATGTATGATTAAAATGATGTTAAATCATTATTGAAAAATATATTTTGATGAAAAATGGAGCTCAAACGAGGGTTAATTGTTTTTATCATTTGAACGAAAAATACAACGATGAAAAAGATATGGACCTAAAAGACATTAGTAGAATATCCAACTAACCTCTCAATACATTATTCATAACTGGCAAAAACCCAAGTCTATGTACCCCATAGTCAAACTTAAAAAACTATACTTTTTCTCTTCCTTTCGCCCATGTCACTTTCTCCTCCTCCAATTTCAGCCTTCCATTTTGTGGGCATCCCCAATGCTGAGGCGAGATTTCGATTAATCACCGTAGAATATGCCATGTGGCTACCTTGTCTCACCGTCCGCGAACTTATCAAATTCCATCCCATACTCCAACCTATATATATCCTCTAACCCTTCTACGGACAATTCTCTCCCTTTTCTCTCTCTGGAAAAATATTCGTTCTGTGTTTAGATTATATATCGTAACGGTGGTATAAATTCAGAAAACCCTATTTTCTTGAATCCCATTTCTTGAATTACTCAAATGTTGCTCTTATTGTGCTTCATTTGAATGGTTATGAGAGTTTTATTGATAGGAAGAGAGTGTTTCTTTGTTGAAGAAATTCAAGATTCAATTTTTAATGGAGGAACCAATAGGAAGAAGGTTTCGAATAGGCTACGCTTTGGCTCCCAAGAAACAAGCCAGCTTCGTTCAGGTTTCTCTCATAAATCTTGCTAAAGAGAGAGGCATCGATCTTATCAAGATCGACCTCGAAAAGCCCTTAATCGATCAGGGTCCTTTTGATTGCATTCTTCACAAAATTTACAGTCCCAGTTGGAAACAACAGTTATCTGACTATGCGATAAAGAATCCTAATGTCCCTATAATTGATTCTCCCAATGCCATTGAGAGGCTGCACAATAGAATTTCCATGCTTGAGGTGGTTACCGAGATTAATGTTGAGTACAAGACACTGTTATTTGGGATTCCAAAGCAGATTGTAATTTATGATGCGAAAGCTGTCGAGGAATTGAATCTTGAGGCTGAGGGCTTGAAGTTTCCAGTGATAGCGAAGCCGTTGGTGGCAGATGGGAGTGCAAAGTCGCACAAGATGTCCTTGGTTTTTAACAAGGATGGGTTGAGTAAGCTGAAGCCGCCGGTTGTCTTGCAGGAGTTTGTGAACCATGGGGGTGTGATCTTTAAGGTGTATGTAGTGGGAGACTATGTCAAGTGTGTGAAGAGAAAGTCTCTACCAGATGTGAACGAGGAGAATTTGGGAAATTCTGAGGCGTCACTGTCCTTTTCACAAGTCTCGAATTTGAATAGTGTGGAGAGGGCTGATGACAAGTATTATAGAATGATGGACTTGGAAGATGAAAAGACAGAGTTTCCTGCAATGAGCTTCTTGGTTAATATAGCTAGTGGGTTGAGGGGTGCAATGGGTTTGCGTTTGTTTAACTTTGACTTGATTAGGGATGTGCGGATTGGGAATAGGTACCTTGTGATCGACATTAACTATTTTCCTGGATATGCAAAGATGCCCTGCTATGAGCGTGTTCTGACAGATTTTTTCTGGGATATTTTGAACAATAATTATGATAATAAGATGGTCCTGAATCTGGAAAGTTTAAATATGGGTACTTGCCAGATGGAAGTTAGAAAGTTGGTTAGTAATAGTGAACGTGACAAGGATGATGGAGTAACAAATCTTCCCGTTTCTCCAATAAAGCGGGAAGAAAAGGAGAGTTCCATTCAAGTATGAGAGAATGCTTATTAAAGTAATAGTGTCATGTGGTTAGTGGAGGGCTTGTCGGCAAACATGGGTCAATGGAATTTGCTTTCTGCTGGTTGATGGCCTTGAAGCAAGCCATGTTGCACTTCCTTTAGATGGTAGAATTAGTACAGTGGTTAATTATTAGGTTTCTTCACTTTGATTCTGATGCAATCGGCATTAATGGAGTGCTCTGTGTTAATCATGTACATTCGAGTTGTTGGGTTGAGGATAGTATCAATGGGGACAATAGGTATTTCTCAAATACTATTAAGTCTTTAGGAATGTTAAGTTTTACTTCAAGGCAAATGTATTTCCTGGCTTAGAAAACCTTTCTGATGTTAGCTTCAGCAACGTCAATCAATGAATCGTGCGATTTTGTCCATGATTGTCCACTTTAATTCTGCCTTTCATAATGTGTGATTGATGGGTTCTTATCATACGCCCTGTTTTAAGAGTGCAACTCCATGCTTAAACTGAGATTTATTGTCTATTGTCCTTATGAAAATTGTATTTGTGTAAGCATATATAAAACACTGAATTATTTGAGAGACACTTAATAAATTGTCTTATAATAATTCTCCCTGAATATTCCCTTTCAGCTAAGCGAGTTGTTCCTCATTCGAAGAAAACTTTCTTTCTCAAACAATAGTTACTATATATGTCAATCTGGTTATATATCCTATTAAATATTTACTGTGTTTCTTTGTTCCCTGATGGAAGCTTTGATGATAGTGGGCCAGCCCACCGGTAAGCCAACCTGTGGGGAGTGAAGAACCATTTTATTTTTACTTTTTCATGTTTTATATAAGGATTGTTTGCGTGATTCAGAATTAGGGTCATGCAGTTCTAATAGCCGGGAGGCTGATACTGTTGATTCTGCCTTTGACTACATGGTGTATATGTGTGTGTGTGTTTTAAGAGCAAAACATGAAACTGACCAATGAAATCAGTTTACTTTCAGATATTAATTTTGTTTCGTTCAAATAATTGCATACCAATCTTAACTTTTTAAATTTAATTCTTTTGAAGAACTATGGATTATTGATGCTGTATAATTTTTCTCCATCAGGTTTTGGTCTTTCTGTGTTAGAAGTGGCATGCAAGTGATCTACTCTGATTTTGATACGATATGCTGTTTTTGCTTCCTTCCAAATGGGAATTTGTATCCTAGGTCTATGGAGAATTCAGGACTCTTGTACATTAAAATACACCATAGTTTTCTTCCTTAAGAAGTTAATTTTGTAAAAGACAATTTATGTTAAGGCACATCTATTTCTTTGGAACAATTGTGAAGTTTCACCCCCTTCCCTCATCTAACTACCTTTACTTCTTCCACATTAAAACCCGAAGCTTTAGTCATATATGGCGTTCACTTGGAAATATGTCAATGAATATGTTACGACAAATCAGTAAAATAATTTGATAGTGCATATTCAACAAAAAACGTGGGACATAGCTGAAAAAATGTGACAGATTCTTGAATCTATTGTGTTGATTGAAGGCTGTCAAAAGGTTGGTAGTGCTTGTATCACAACTATTTCTACTTTTTATTTTTATATTTTTGCAGTTTTAGATGCGTCTTATATTGCATGATATCTAACCAAGTGCTATTGGTGAATCCAATGGCAGATTATCACAATTAAAATTAAACTGTTAAACTTCTGAGCTCGATTTATATTACACGGTTTTACAGCATATGCAGTGACTTTTCTTATTTAACATTCCTAGCCCCTCTAAATGAGCTTCTTTATGGAGTGTGATTCTTGGTTCATTGGTTTAGATGAACTAAATGGGAGGTTCTACATTCTGTTGGATGTAATTATAAGAGACTTATAAAATAACTAAAAAGATGTGTGCATAGTTGTAGGTATGCAAAAAAATATGATTCAACTGCTAGTGTCATAATTCCATCATCCGTATTGCATGTCCACATTTCATTTATTGTGCCTGAGCTCATTTCTTTCCTTTATTGGTTATCTATGGTTCTTCTTTGCCGAGATTTGCAGAAAATGTCCTAGAATTAAGTTGTTTGTATACAGACAGGCTTGAAAGCATTTTTAAACATCGTTTTCCTGGAACTGGTTGCCCTGAACATAATGGGTTTAAATCTAAGACCTGTCTGTTTATTGTTGCGTTAAAACTTTTTGGCAGACACATATGTAAATTATATCACAGTGGGGTCAATAATGCATTTGATTACTGATTGGCTTGTTTGATAAGCAGTGAGATTTCTTAGACAGAGTACACCATTTTATCCTATTATTGTTTTGCGCCTTGAGTTCTGAAATTTCTATATATGATTAGTTGCAAGATAAATATATTTTAAAAATATTAATACTTGTTGTAGAAGAACATATTTTGTGTTTAAAATTGTGCATCCAGTATTCATGAAAATGATGATTCTTGTTGTGCACTTGTGCTTCTTCGTGCCAGTTGTTTGTTCTGCCATTCTTGAGTATCATTTTCTAAAGTTCATGATTCTAGGAAGCTGAGCTTGTAAGTTCTTTAATAGATATCGCATGCCTTTACTTCAACTTATTGATTCCATCATTACCCTCATTTTCATTTTTTGGTGCAAGTCGACAGGAGTTACTATATGTATGTATGTGCGTATGTGTAAGAATTGTAATTATCTGCCGCTGCTCTTTTGAAAAAAACCAGAGTTGTGTGACATCCATTTAACACAAGTCAATTTTGACGAGATCAACGTGTCTTCCTTTAGCGAAGTTCACGAGAGTAAGCTGAACGAAGCTTGTTTCGTGGGAGCCAAATTGATTCAATGGAGATAGTGATGTAGGACAATCCTATTCCAAATATAATTTCTTGTTTTAATAAGGTTTCTCTCTTTTTCTTCTTCTTTCTTGTTTACAAAAGGATTTTTTAATTCTTGTTTAGAATATGATTTCTTTTTCTTTCTTGATTTAGAATGTGATTTCCTCTTTCTTGTTAGATTATTATTTTATTTTTACTCCTTTTAAGATTTTAATTACTTTTTAATTACTTTAGTCATTAGGGTTATGAAACTAATTTGCCTATATGAATATAGGCTGGCATACCTTATCGATTACCACTTTTCAATACAATCAAATTATTCTTAAAAACTCTTTGAGATGCTGGAATATATGACACGGTCTGACCATCTGAAATCGGATGCATGACCACAGGTGCTTGACAACTTCTTATACGCACGCCTGGTTCATTATTCTTCCTGCTTTTATATATAGAGTTAATTATTGTTGGTTGGTTGTAAAACCCTTGGAAGGGACTCACTGCCATTATATCTTTGGATTCCATGGTGATTCATAGGAAGTTTTAGATTGGATATGTGCAATGCATGAAGTATGAAGTATTGAATTTCAAATATGTTTAAGACTTAAAAAATGTCGATTGTTGGCACTTGGTTACACAGAGTAGGGTAACAAAGAGAATTGAGGATTGCTGCATTGAATGTTCAAATATAACTAATTAATATGGTCGGTTTTGCTTATTTTCAATGGAAGAACTCTCCCTATCAAAGGATCAAATAGACACACATGCACATACAAAATGAATGTAAAAAATGAGAATCAGATGGTATGTGCTGTTTTGTCTTTATGCTTTACCATACTTGTCTGAAGCTTAATCCAAGAAATTAGTTGAAACTTTTGATCTTTTTCACCAATGGAGCTATAATTGTATTTCTAGTATTGGTTATTCACGATTTTTTGCATGCCACAGGCATAGCTGGCTAGTTTAGCATATTAGTCCTGATATCTTTTGCTTTTACATTGTTGCTTAGCCTGCTTGACTTTATGTTCTGTGGGATGTTTAAAAGCATTAGCGTGATAGTAGACTTCAAATCTTATGTTTGTTTCAGGATTTGGTTTTATGTTTCTTGTTTTCTGCATCTCCCTACACGTTGCATTTTCTTTTCCTAACACACTGTGCATCAATGCACGTGGGGGACGTTGTATAAAATCTTAATCTTTAAACCCCCAAGTTCATGATTAGAGTTTGTTAGTGTTTCTTATTTGGTGATAAATAATATTTAAGACCTTGGCCCAAGGTTTGTTTCTCTCTCACCTTGAGCTAGAACAAGTTACTGTGAATTTTCAGTTAGATGATCATAGACGATTTGCTATCCATGCTTCTATGAGCATGCCAACTAAAATTTGATTCACTGGTCTATTATTACTTGCGTAACAAATGCTCAAGTCAACAAAGTTCTACTTGGCTGCTCTTACCTTTTAGTGTCGACTGAATTTACTTTATTTACTAACAAGCATGTCATGGATGCTGAACTTATCATGCAGCATTTATGGCTTGCTCTTGCTTTGGTAATGGTCATTGATTCTACCACACATTTCACACAATTCACTTTCACTGGATACTACCCTGGACATATTAGATGTTGATAAGTATCAATACTAAAGTGTCAGTGTCGAATTTATCTTGATTCTGACCTTAAAGCCTGAATTGGAAGTACTTATCAATTCCTCTATATAGAACTCTGGTTCAGAGTCTGATGGCAGTATGTTAAAATTGTTGGTTAAAATCGTGATATATGCACAGTTTCAGTAAACTGTATTGATGCATTCTTGTAGTCGTAGTAAGAGCATATTGGAGCACTAGTTTTTTGTTACAAATAAGGTATGGTTTTTGTCCTCCATAGTTTTTATTTATCTTCGCTTCTAAATTTAGGATTGTGTCCTGAAGAAGCTTAAAATAAGAAGAAATTTCCATAGCACATCTTCTCTCTCAACTTGATCCATTACTAGTGCTTGTCTGGTGTCTGCATCATTAGAAATTCTGTCGCTTAATAGAAAAATTCACATTAGGTTTAGGCATAATGAGGCTCGAGATAAGTTGGGAAATTTTTTAGTGTGCTGAGGATGGAACAGGGCAGTTAGGTCGTATGGGGACAATTTATATGGTGCAGTGGGCCGACGTTGGCTGTTGTCTACTCTATCGCCTTTGCAGCCTGTTAAAATTGGTGTGCATATTCTGATATTGATAGCTGGACGAACAATGCAGATTCTGTAGATTAGGGATGGCACAGCTTCCCTATTTCATGCCATGTTTTTCTATTTATTTATTAAATATGATTTAAATTTAAAAAAGCCAAATAAAATAAATTAAAATTAAAAGTAAGGGTTGAGCAAGAATGGGGGTGTGGATCAGAGTGAATTACCCAAATGGTCACTGACCTTTGCAAAAGGTTTTCTATCTGCCGCCTGCATTGTATATGTATATTCTATTGTGCAAATAAAAATATCTTGTACAGTATTTAAGTTGAAAGGGACAGTAAAATTTTGATAGGTTTAGAAGTGTGCAAGGTAACGTGTTCATCCAAGAGTTTCAACCCAAATACCTCATAAAAGTAAAAAAATGTTTCAACCCTATCCACCTACATATGGCAACCTAATCCTATCAAATCTCAAAAGCAAAAACTAACAAATCAAAACCACACTTTTTCATTTAATCACACGTGGCCACCCCCAATTTATATACAATATTTTATTTAAATCAAAACGAAAAATAACAACTTCTAAAATCTATGATATTTTGGGTCTAACTCGTCCGATTAAACTTTTTCTCGAGCCTAATATATATAATTAATTACGAGTTATCCAATAAATACAATATTGATATATTTATCATTATTCTATCATTATTTAATATTTGACCCAATTAAAATTAAATTTAATATGTTTATCATTTTAGTCTCCAAACTTTCCAAATTTAAGATATAGTATATAAAATAAATAAATTCTAGTATGTGAAAATTTTTGGGACCTTACAATCTCCACTCCTTAAAATATTTTCATCCTCGAAAATTTACCTTAGTTAATTGAAAAGTTCTGGGTACTTTGTTTTAAGCTTCTCTTCTTTTTCCCAAGTTGACTCATCTCATCCATGATTTTGCCATTGTACATTGACTAGAGGAACTTCTCTGTTTCTGAGTTGATTTACTTTTCTATCCAAAATCATCGTCGGGATTTCTTCATATGACAAGTCTTTTTATACCTCCAAAATTTGGTAACTTACCACGTGATTGAGATCATAAATATATTTTTTAAGAATCGAAACATGGAACAAATTATGCACTGCTGCTAGTTCAGGTGGTAAGGCAAGTCTATAAGTCACACTACCAATCCTTTCAAGAATTTCGAAAGGTCCAATGAACCACGATCTCAACTTCCCTTTATTTTCAAATCCCAATATACCCTTCATTGGTGCTATCTTTAGAAGAACTTTGTCACCCATTTGAAATTCTAAATCATTTCTTCTAC